CTGAAATTTCTGCTTGCCTCTGCTCCCTCCCCCTTGAGCCACAGGGCGACCACTCGCGCAGGTACAAAGTGCAGGCCCCGATCCCGTCTCCAAGACCCTGTCCTCTTTTTTGCTCCACATCACTGCAGCTGTGCGGCGCCGCACCATCGCATTCGGAGGTGGCGGCTTCCCCCTTCCAGCTAAGGGCTACCCCCACCCCGCCGGGAGGCGCGCAATACAGTTTTCCCCCACATGTCTGGTGCTCCTCCACCCGCCAGCCTTCGTGAGCCTGCTGCGCGCCGCCCCCCTGGCGCCTGCCGCCCCGCCTGTGGGCCCACAGATGGGGCGTCCTCATCCCTGTTCGCCTCCCCCTCCCCTCGCTCGCTCTCCCCTCCTCCGCGCCGCCGTGGCACTGCCGGCCCCGCTGACGCCGCCTTTGGCCGCCAGTCGCGGGCGCCCGCACCAGCCCCGGGCCCAGTCTTGCCGCCCGCCATTGGCGCCAGAGCCCCGTGGCTCCTAACGCACCCGTGTTGGGATTGGGCAGCCACGGATTTGACACTGCCACGCCTTCGCCTTCCAGCGTCGTTTTCCCGCACTAGGCCCCGCCGCCCCCGGCCCGTTGTCGCAGCAGCCGCCACGTGCCGAGCGGCGGGGCCGGCCGCGCCACACGATCGGGGAGCGTTCTGACCCGAGCCGCCCGCCCCGTCATTGTTTTCCTTCGGCCGCGTCCGTCCTCCCTCCTCCTCCTCCTCCGCCTCCTGCTCCGCCTCCTCCGTCCCTCCCTCCCTCTCTCCCTCTCTCCCGCCCTCCCTCCCTCCCTCCCTCCCCTCCCTCCCCAAGACGGCCCAAGAGACGCCCGAAACGGCCCAAGACGGCGCCAAAAGGGACCCAAGAAAGGGAACACGAAGCGAAAATTTGAGCCTTCCGCCCCAAGAGGCCCCCAGGAGGCACCAAGAGGCGCCCCGAAGGCCCCACAAGGCCCCAAGAGGCCCCCAAGATGCTCCAAAAAGGCCCCAAGAGGCCCCCAAGAGGCCCAAAAGATGCACCAAGAGGCCCCAAAACGGCCCCCAGGAGGCGTCCGAACTGCCTCCAAGACCACCGAGAAGCCTCCCCCGAGATCCCAACGAACATCCAATAGGCGTCATACCCACAACCCAGGCACGGTGGCGGGAGTGGCCGAAGGCCATTAGATCCGCCGCCCCCTGCTTGCAGGGGTGCACGGCGTGCTGGACGTTTCAGGTTTTGGTTTTGGTTCTTTTTCTAAAAGAACTCCCCAGTGGGCTTCGGCCCGTCCCGCCGGCCACCCGGAAAGGATGCCCAGGAGCTCAATTCCCCAATTTCCTGCCCCAGACGGTTCCAAGATGGCCTCCAAGATGCCTCTAAGACGGCCAGGATGGTCTCTAAGACGGCTAAGATGGCCTTATGATGCCTCCAAGACGGCCCAAGATGTACCCAAGACGGCCTAAGATAGCCTCAAGATGGCCCAAGACGGCCCAAGAGGCCCCAAAGAGGCCTCCAAGACAGCCCAGGAGGCCTTCAAGAGGTCCTTCAGGAGAGCCCGAAGAGGCCAAAATCATTGGTTTTCCTTAGGTTGTTGAAGGTTTTTTGCGTTTTCATCTTTTCGGCCTTCCGACGGCCCAAGAGGCCCCCAAGATCGCCCAAGAGGCCTCCAAGAAGGCCCTATGACGGCCCAAGGGCCCCCCAAGACGGCCCCAAGAGCGCCCCAAGACGGCCCAAGAGGCCTCCAAGACGCCCAACATGGCCTCCAAGACGGCCCTGAAGCGCCCCAAGAGGGCCCCAAGACGGCCCAGAGAGGCCCCCAAGACGGCTCCAGACGGCGTCAGACGGACCAGGAACGCCCTAAGACGGCCAAAGAGACCCCCAGGAAGCCCCCAAAGGCCCCCAAGAGGCCCAAGGAGGCCCCCAAGATGCCTCCAAGAGGCCTCGAAGAGGCCCCCAAGAAGCCCCCAACAGACCCCAAGGGTGCCCCAAGAGACTCCTAACAACCCTCATCCTCCTACTCTATTTCTTCCTCTTCCTCTTCCTGTTCATAATCATTATCTCCCCTGTGTTCCCCGAAAGCTTTCCAAACCGACTCGGGGAACTCATGGTCCGATAGCTTGGCCAAGCTCTAGTCCAACTTTCGGCCACATCGGCATTTCCTAAAAGGCAGGGGGCGGCGGTGATTCGCCGTAGGCGTCTTCGTATATAGAGAAGAAGAGAGAGAGAGAGAGAGAGAGAGAGAGAGAGAGAGAGAGAGAGAGAAAGAGACAGAGACAGAGACAGAGACAGAGACAGAGACAGAGAAAGAGAAAGAGAGAGAAAGAGAGAGAGAAAGTGAGAAAGAGCGAAAGAAATTAGATATATAGAGAGAGAGAGAAGTAAAAAACCTACAATCAGCCTGGCGAAGGACCAAACCATATGCAGCTGCGAGTACCACGAGGGAAATGTGACGAAGGAGGGGGGGGCGCGCAAACTCCGAGTACCGCACGCGGTATAGCCTAAGCGGCTGCAAGTACCGCGAGGGAGATAAGACAAAGGGGGGGAGCAAAAGGACTGCGGTGGAGCTGGGGCCTTCGGTGGAACTCCCCATGGGACCACGAACCGTGTGATGGGTGCGCCGAAATGAAAGTGGAACTGCATGCAAACCCTGCCAATGAGGCCTACAGTGGAGCTCCCATATGGGGCCACGAACCGTGTGAGGGGTGCGCCGAGATGAGGGTGGAACTGCATGCGAACCCTGCCAATGGGGCCTTCGGTGGAGCTCCCTATAGGGGACAGGAACCGTGTGAGAGGGGCACCAAAAAGGGGGCGGAACTGCATGCGAACCCTGCTTCTGGGGCCTTCGACTGAGCTCCCTATGGGGCCACGAACCGTGAGAGGGGTGTGCCAAAATGAGAATGGAACTGCATGCGAACCCTGTCGCTGTGGCCTTCGGTGGAGCTCCCTATGGGACCACGAACCGTGTGAGCGGGTGCGCCGAAATGAAGGTGGAACTGATTGCGAACCCTGCCGCTATGGCCTTAGGCGGAGCTCCCCATGGGGCCACGAACCGTTTACAGGTAGCGCGCCGCGACAAGGATGGCGCGCGGGGCGGTGCAAATGGCGGTCACGAAAAGCGTGAGGGGTGCGCCAACGTGGGGGGGGACTGCATGCGGGCGCTGCCACTGGGGCATTCGGCGGAGCCCCCGATGGGACTTCGAAACGTGTGAGTATGCCCCCTATGGGGCCACGAAACGTGTGAGGGGTGCGCCAAGATGGGGGTGGAACTGCATGCGGGCGCTGCCTTGGGGCCTTTGGTGGGATTTCCTGTAGGGCCACGAAACGTGTGAGGGGTGCGCCAAGATGGGAGTGGAACTGCATGCGGGCGCTGCCACTGGGGCCTTCGACGGAGCTCCCTATGTATGGGGCCACGAATCGTGTGAGGGGTGTGCCAAGATGGGAGTGGAACTCCATGCGGGCACTGCCACTGGGGCCTTCGGTGGAGCTCCCTATGGGGCCACGAACCGTGTGAGTGGTGTGCAAATATAGGGGTGGAACTGCATGCGGGCGCTGCCACTTGGGCCTTCTGTGGAGCTCCCTATGGGGCCACGAATCGTGTGAGGGTGCGCCGAAATGAAGGTGGAACTGCATGCGGGCGCTGCCACTGGGGCCTTCGGTGGAGCTCCCTGTGGGGCCACGAAACGGGCGAGGGAGGCGCCAAGGTGGGGGTGGAACTGCATGCGGACGCTGCCTTGGGGCCATCGGTGAAGCTCCTTATGGGGCCACGAAACGTGTGAGGGGTGCGCCAAGATGGGAGTGGAACTACATGCGGCCGCTGCCACTGGGGCCTTCGGTGGAGCTCCCTGTGGGGCCACGTGACCGGTGAGGGGTGTGCCAAGATGAGGTCGGAACTGCATGCGGGCACTGCCAGTGGGGCCTCGGTGGAGCTCCCTATGGGGCCACGAAACGTGTGAGGGGTGCGCCAAGATAGGGGTGAAGCTGCATGCGGGCGCTGCCACTGGGACCTTCGGTGTAGCTCCCTATAGGGCCACGAAACGTGTGAGGGTTGCACCGAAATGGTGGACATGCAGAGGGCAGAGGCAGGGATGGGATGAGAGGAGGGAGAGGGCAGCGGGAGGAGTGAATGCGGGGTGCTGTCTCTTCAAAACGAGGACCCAACACCACAGGATGGTTGGGAAAAAAGATTGGCACGAATCGACATAGCCACGCACTTCGGACGGGGGCATTCCCGCGTTCCCAAAAATAAGTTTCGGTTGATCTGGACGCTAGCCCAGACTGACCCCAGAGGAGTGGTACATGCAGCGCGCAGGGACGATGTCATCTGCAAATGGTGGTCACGCGCACCTTAAACACTTCTTTGCGCATGTTGCTCAAAAAATGCCTGCGCTAGGCTAGTGCGACGAAACTAAGCACGAAGCTAGTATTTCCCGCGAAGGTGTCTGTTTACTTGGACTGGCAACGTGGCACCCGTCGTCGTGTTTGATGTGTGCTGGTGTCTGCTCCGATGCTCTACGATATTTCCGCGGTTCGTCGCCAGATACGTGGCTTCACCTGGGCAGCTCACTCCACAATAGTTTGGCGTTCGATCGAAGACGCAACCCTTCCAGCAACGCGCATAGACAACAACGTAGAGTCCAGCAGTCTCGCAAGATGGTTGGCAGAAAGCAACCCGCGGCAGCAACGGCAAACAACGGCGTCGTGGCCAAAGGCAGTAAGCTAAAGAAGGAGATGGCACAAATCGTGGAAGGGACCGCCCGAATGGAGCACGAATAAATGCGACTGCCTAGTAGGCAATGCCCTGACCACAGTGGGCACACACCACACCGATGGAAACCGACCCCTCAGAACCTGCCCAGGAACCCTCTCCCTCTTTGCTTCTGACGAAAACTGAGCCCAGAACGCCACGAGCACGATGACAGGCGTGCGCCAACGGTCCACAACAGGGATAAATCACCGTCCCACGGACCACCCGCTCATCCAGAGCGGAAGCGCGACAGCACAAATGAGAACGGGCGCTC